ATTGGATTTCCACCAGACATATCACTCGGTGTTGAGGCCAAATAATCCAGTTTTAGTCTCATCTGACCACAACACCTTTTTCCATGTGGCCTCAGAATCTTCAAGGTGCATTTTGGCAAAGCTCAGTCGTGACTGCATATGACCTTTCTTGAGGAGTGGCTTTTTCCTTGAACCCCTCCCATACAAGCCATATTTGTGGAGAATTTGAGATATTGTTGTCACATGCACACAATGACCACTCTTTGTCATAAATTTCTGCAACTGCTTCAGAGTTGTGTAGGCCTTTTGGTAGATTATCTGTCCACAATTTTATCTCATAGTTGATTGTTTGCTCCATTTGCACTATCAGGGACTGAAGTAATTGTTAGGAGGGGGGGAGGTGATCCTTTTTCCAATTCAGTTATTCTGTGTTTTTTTCTGTTAATTCTGACATGTTGGTGTTATATCTTTCACTTGGATGTTATGAGTTGCACTATAAAATAAATACAGCTGGATAAAACAAAAACTGTGTCTGTCATCACTACAGGCTGCAAAGCAACAAAATGTGATTTTAAATGGGATGATTCTTTTCTATACCCACTGCAATCAAAAATTGTAAATGCTGTCCACACAAAAGCCTTTACATAAAGTGCAACAGAAGTCCAATTTCCAAAAAGTGCTGAATAAAGTGACTAGAGCTCAAACTTCATGTTTTCAATATGTGCAAATCACTCTGTGCTCTCCTTTTTTACCACACTCACCAGAGTTCTGTGACCCCCTATGCAACATAGGTGGGTCTCAAGCGCTTTAAAGATGGTTCCTAACTCCTCCAGTGATTTCTGTGTTCCTGCTGTATGAAAAGACTTCCTGCAGTTCTTCTCCAGTGTGCGTGCAAGTAAGGGGAGAAAAAAGCTAGGAGTTAGCATCCAATAGTATAATTCTGTTTTATTTAGACCATAAAAAGTGAAAACCTTAGGAATAAACTGGTTCACAATGTAGTGAGTGAATCCACCTACAAATAATGTCACCTATTTTGGCCAAAGGGTTATTTTTAAATGCAAGCGATGTAAGTCATGTAAGATAAGTCATAATAGGGAAAAGAAAAGAAAAAACTAAATCTGGTGTTATAAATAGGGAGTATAACATCAAAAGTTCTTCACCATGACAATGCTTATGTCACTTATGTCATTGCATTTCTGTGCAAGCTACAATATGTTGGAAGAACAACTAGGTGCCTTTCCATTAGGATAGCCAAATATATAAATAATAAGTACGAAAATCTTCAAAAAGCATAGCTTGTCTAGACATTTCAGAGATTATCATGGCAAAGACCCCAGGGGTATGACTCTCTATGGTATAGGTAGGATAAAAAGAAAATCACTGGAGGGGGAGCAATATGAAGCAAGAAATATCTAAAAATAAATGAGACTAAATAGATAAATGAATTGGAAACATTGACCCCTGAGGGGCTTAATGATGACCTCAATTGTTTCATCCCTGATTTCTAATGCTACCCAACAGTTTGTCCTCATAGTACCTAACATAAAGTTTATTTTATTATGTAAATATTTTATGAATATAGAGTTCACCTTTAAAAGGGTAAGGGATTTCCCACTTTTTAAGTTTTATTTTTACATTTAAGGATAAATATTTTAGTATTAATATTTTTTATCGGAGCGCCCCTTAATGGTGGTGTGTACCCTTAGCAGGAGGGGGTGTCTTTTGTTGCATGCTATATGGTTGATATAGCATGTGAGCAAGAAACACCTTATGGGTTTACATTTGAGTTTCTCCTTTAGTACAAAAGACAAGGGAGGGCTAGCCCTTTAGGAGATCTCTTTTAATACACTGTATAGTTTATACAGAGTGTGATAATGACATTTTATATTATCATGCAGGTGCGAATTGGAGTTCCCCTTCAGCAGAAATACGGGCTCTTTACGAGGTATGGAATGGTGTGGATAAATGGTATCTAGCCATTGGTATTGTTTAGCAGTATGTCTTATCATAGATGACCATAAGGGGTGAAAAATATGGCTAATGGGCAAATGTAGTCATAAGTTATATAAGAGGCGGAATGTACTAATATGGTGCTGCTCCTGATGACGTCAGTGTGAAGAAACGCCTTGGGCAGGGTTTGTTGCGTTACTTCCACTTTCGTATTTCCAGTAGGTGGAACGCAGGTGGATACAGGAATAACACATGATACGGCTTGTATACATTGCAAGCAGTGTGATTGAGTAAGTGCAATTTAAATGTTTTTATGGTGTAAATAAAACAAAATTATACTATTGTTGGCTGCCTCCTGGCTTTTTTCTCCGCTTACAGGCATGCATACTGGAGAGGAACTGTGGGAAGTCTTTTCATACAGCAGGGACACTGGAACCACTGGAGGAGTTAGAAACCATCTTTAAAGCATTGAGACCCACTTATGTTGCACAGCGGGTCACAGAACTGTGGTGAGTAGGGTGAAGAAAAAGGGGAGAACAGAGTGAAGTTTGAGCTCCAGTCATTTTATTCAGCACTTTCTGAAAATGTGACTTTTGCTGCACTTTATGTAAAGACTTTTATATGCGGAGAGCATTTACAGTTTTATTATGTGTCAGCACACAGTATGGTAAAATGACTAATGACACTTGACTAGGAATGACACTTGTGCCCATGGCAATTTAGATTTAGAAGTTTTTTCACACAATTAATTTGTGTTGTACCAAGTGCCAAGGTGAGAGCCCCGCACAGGATCCAGTGCCTGAAGCAGCTTTCCAGGCATTCTAACAGCGTGAGGTCTGGATACAACTCTCAAAATAACAGAGAAAAATAATAAAGGAGAAGAATTCCATCATCTACAGGCACAAGCAAAAAACTGTAGGCTCAAGGAGTGGATTAGGGTTATACAGAAGGCGACCCAAGAGGGTATGTCCCCAAAAGCTTTGCCAGTGTCCAAGCACCTAAAGGTATGAGCCTATAAGCCATGGTGTATGAAAAAGTTGCCTGTGTCCTGTCCTGTACCATACGATTAAGGTAATACCATTGTAACCTTTTAGCATGTAATGTATCTTGATAAATATTGAAGTCCACAAAATGGTCACCTGCATCATTTAACAAGCATATCATATTTTTTTTACATGCCCCTTCATATTTGTATATATAGTACATATTGGTTAGTAAATTTTAAAGTTTTTTTTCAACTTTAAAGAGATTGCACAAAAATTTAAGTATGTTAAGATCACACATGTAGTAAATGTAAAGTCCCACAGCACATATAAGGGGTAATGTTTTAATTTATTTTTCTTTTTTTCCACAATATATATTTACTATATCATTCCCTGTATAAAAAAAAGAAACAACAATGTATTATACATGACATGTTTTGCTTTACAGAAAATAAAAACACCCAAAACTAAGGTCTGGAAATTCAGTTTCAAGTGATGTACCAGCTTCCTACTGCATAAATACAAAGATTGCAGCAAGTGCTAAACAGTTTAATGTTAAACCTAGAAGCAATGTTGTAAGTGTGGAGGTGTAATTATGACCCAAGGTCAACAAAGCAAGTATATATACATACATACAAGCCCAAATAAAATGGGGTGGATGGCTGCAGTCATTCTAAATGATAGGGCCACACGCCACCGTAAGATCTGTGCTCATTGCGGTAGGGTGGAAAGCACATTTTATTGTTTTTAAAGACAATACTTTGCTGTGCAAACTTTCTAAAACAATATAACATTTTGCGTAACGACTACTAGGGTAACTGTATAAAACTGGAAGAAAGGAAATGGATGTATTGATTCTATCAGCCAATTAGATGCCTGCCTTCAATTTTAAATTTGCAGTATAAAAATGATAGCAAGACTCTAAATGGCTGGCAAGGATCAATGCCTCCAATTCTCAGTACCTACAGCTTTATAATATAGCCCACTTGATGTTGCCACACAAGCCTCATCTCTTCAAGGTGGTTGAAAAGACTTGGACCTCTGTTTTGCTTCTCCATTTACAACCAAAGGGATTAACCATACTATTCTGGATGCATGCTAAACAGCATACCCTGTTTACTCACAGATAATGGATACGTCACTGGATGCTCTCCCAGGCTGAGCAACTGCATTGGAGGAGGCTATTCCCCTAAGCTAACTTTGCAGGCCTGACACTCAGTAACACAATCACAACAGATCTTACTTACTGAAAGGCAAAAAAAGTCATAAACTTTAATGTTCTTATCATTTCACTCTTTGTTTGCCCACGGCAGCATAAAAAAAATAATCCATGAAGGGAAAAGTCAGCATCATTAGGAACAAGTGACACCAAACAACCCACATGTATGATTATGGGTTGGTGCCACAGTATATACAGTGAATTTACATCTGCAAATCTGCAACCATGGAAAAACATGCAGTGATTGCACAAAAATCTGTCTCTTTATTTCACTAATACTCCTTCAGCAGAACATTCCATAAGTTGGGAAAAGAGGAGTGGCATGTTAAGTGCTATTAGCACATAACCTAATGCATCAGGGAGAAAGATATGGCAAGGGAGCCTTTGGTAGGATCCTAACCAATCTGGCAACAGTTCTGCTATGGCCATGCATGCAGCTGCTCTGCACTGCTAGATCGGTGTGCAATAAACTGGAATGTGTATATATCTTAAGTGCATATGAACACACGTACATACATATACAATGTACACAGACATACGTCATCACGCTTACAAGTTAGCTTTGATAACAAACCAATGCAATGTAGCAAAGCACCAGGTGGAAATATCCCCTGAGTAAAGAGCTGAATAATCCAATCTTCTGCAAGGTCTGGGACTTTCTACTCCTTCATGAGCAGCGGCATGCCACAAACTGAACAAAACCCATGGACCCTCAACTGAAGATTATGGAGTCTTTTTAAGGCTTTTCATACTATGGACGTTTCTTTCCAGTCGCAGGATTTCACTGTCTGCTTCCGAGCATTCAGATTGGCTGTGGGGATTGTTTCATTTTCAGACTTTCCATATTGATGTTTACCACAAAGACACTTTCACTCGCTGTCAGAGAGAGTTTCATACTGGGAGCAAAGCAGTGGTTTGGGCTCTTCATCCCGAGCTCTCTGCGGGGTTAATGAGTTGCTCTGTGGAATGGTGGTTGAAGGCGGTGGAGCCACAAGGCTGTTAGGGAGCCTGATTGTTAATGGGTTGAATGGAAATGGTGTTGACCCTGCAGAAGACAGTAAAGTCATTATCAGATTATATTGCTTCTCTGGAGCAGGATAACTTATGGTTACAAGGAATTATTTACATGAATAAGATCAAACCATCAACCAAATTAAATGCATATATGGGAAACCAAAATGTCTTTTTTTGTACATCACGGGACACAGAGCAGGCTTAATAATCATGACCACCTGGGCAGGGGCGGACTGACCATTTGGAAACTCAGGCACTGCCTGAGGGCCCAGGGTCAGTAGGGGGCCCCATGAGATGCCAAGGTACCTTTTTCATAGGCTTTTTGAGTTTAGGAAAGGACACAGGGGCCCCATGATCCCCTATTGCCCGGGGGCCCCATGAGCTGTCAGTCCGCCCCTGCACCCAGCTTATGAGCTGCCTCCAGGTGAATGGATACTGACAGTCAAAGACAGGAAGATCCCCTCTATATAACCGCAGCCCCCTAGGGATGATTCAGTTTTTTTGCCAGTGTCAGAAATGATGGTCACAGATGTGCATTTCTCTGCATAGCTTACCAGATACACAAAGATTCCTATTATGATCAAGAGGTTGGTATTCCGGATCCATTCCTGAATGATGCTTTGCAGATATTGCCGGTAATGTGACCTTTTAGGAGCTAGACCCTTCGTGTACGGAACTCTGTACAGTAGTGACTGTCCAAGTGTTTTCTGTCTGGGGTGCTGTACAGATACAGGGTGGTGGACCCCTAGTAAAGGGGATAATGTACCTGAAGGTCTGGCTAAACATGGCCCGTGAGGGCAGAAGATTGGGTCCTGATTTGGTCAAGTTAGGACCCCTGCTGCGAGAATTGGGAGTCCCTAGTAGCCATGGTATTCTGAGGCTCACTGCTCTGCTATTCTGACTGTTCTTTGGTCTTCCCCCCTCTAGAGGGTACTGGTACAGGCTGGGTGGTGAGGCCTCTCTGGAGGATTATTTCACCTTGTTGATGTCTTGAGTTCCCGCAGATTCCCAGATCCATAAGCAGCTTGTGGGCTGAATCTTGGCCACATCCTACAGAAATAAGGTAGGAGAGTGCCCCAGACTTGGTATTTTGGCCTGTGTGGGAGCGCATGCACAAGAATGCGAGGGAACACATGCATGTAATGGGATCAGATGGGGAGGAGTCCCATCATTTTTATCTGTGGCATGTGAGAGATGGTGGAAGGAGCTTGGGTAAGGCAAGCTGGTGTGTCTGACAGGGCAGTGTTGCTTTCAGCCTTTGGGTGCTTGTGCAGTCGTCTGTGGGGGAAAGGTCTGACTACCCTGCATTGTTTGCTTATTTGTCTATCCCCCTTGTTGATGGCGAGGCTGTCTGAAGAGGCACAGATCTCAGGGTTTTCTGCTATGTCTAATAGGAAGCTTGGAGGAGGGAGCCCAGCTGGGAGAGGAGCGCAACTACCGCCATCAGGACTAGAGGACGCTGGCCAATGCAGTTTCCTGACGAGCCAGGCATGGCAGGGGGTTCAGAGCCCATGAGTTTATCTGGTCTGTTGGCTACTGAAGGGACATCTTATGTGACCAAGCAGGATTTGGTGTTTGCATTGGAAGGCTTACAGAACAAGCTTGCGGGTATATTCACTTCCTTTACGCAGGGAGGAAAGAAATGCGGACGACCCCTTTTCTCCTGAAGCTCCTTCGATTTTAGAGCCAGAATGGGTGGAAGTCAAGAAAGAAGCCAAGGAGGTAGAGGTGTAGGACTCCACTTTTGAAGAGTCAGAACCTAAGGATATTCAGGGCCAGACTGTGTTTCAAGTCAAGAATACCCTAGTGGGTACTTTTGGTGGATATGTTGCATTTCATTTGGATTTGCCTCTGGCAGAGTTTAGGGCTCCAAAGTGTCTGCTGCTAGGCTCCTGGTATCCTCTGCACGTTGCCTACTCAATTTGTTAAACCCTCACTTAGAGGAGGTAGTTTTTTCGGAAAGGGCTCATCAGATAGGGTGTTTGTTCCCCCAAAAGATTTGAGCAACTTTATCCTATGAAGGAAAAGTTTACTAAGAGACGAGTTTGGCTGTATCTTGTCTTAACAAGAATTTGATGTGTCCAGAAGAAAACTCTCTGGTCATTCCATCCCCACAAGCATGTTATAGGGCGTATTTTGTCCTTTCTTCAGTCTGTGGAATACTTAAAGTTGGCCCTTAGTAATGGGCAAATCTCAGCTCTGGCTATGCATTTTCAAAGACCAATTGCTTCACATTCATTGGTACAAACATTTGATCAAAGGGTTACACGGATGGTTCCTCCGTTTAGAACCCTATTGCCTCCATGGGATCTAAATTTGGTGTTGTCAGCCCTGCAAAGGGCTCCTTTTGAACCAATTTGGGATATCCCTTGGAAATATTTTCCTGGTTAAAAATTAAACATAATAGAACTAAGAACTAATGAACTAAGAACATAATAGAACAAAGAACTAATGAATAATAAAGTCCATCTCCATATCGTGATTCTTTCAATATATAATTATTTGTGCCATTCAAATCTTCCTTTTGAGATATGCAATGTGTCTTCACCAACACTGACACCAGTTGTGCTCTCACCTGAAATTTTTGACCGCACAATTAAGTTTGGTCAAAAATGGCTTGCACCCATTAAATGGACATATATTGGTAGTAAGACCTCTATGAAAACTCTCCACTGCTGATTCAGCTCCTTCCTTCTCCTCCACTCAGCGCACATATTGGAAAAATATAGGCAATCCAATAGTGCTTTATCATTTCATAAATTGACAATTTATTATTATATACAATGGCCACTCACATAATACAGGTGCTCCTTTGCACCAAATATGGCACATATGAATAAAACAATCCGTAACCCCGTAGCTAACCTGGGCTTGGAGTGCTTGGTGACGTCACGACGCTCACGGTCAGCAGACCTGTCCCGGAGAGAGCTTACGGAGAGGAGTCCGGTGAGATCCATTAGAGCTTGAGGGAGTCAGCTACGGTTTTACGGATTGTTTTATTCATATGTGCACCATTTGCTGCAATGGAGCACCTGTATTATGTGAGTAGCCATTGTATATTCTAATAAATTGTCAGTTTCTTAAACGATAAAGCACAGGTGGTCATGATTATTATTAAGCTTGCTCTGTGTCCTGTGATGCAAAAGAAATTTACAGGCAAGTACAAAAATCACGTTTTGACAGTATATAAGACACATCCAGGTACTAATCTGTAGTTTACATATTTTATTGTAATGCAGTTTATATGTTCATACACTAAAGGTTTTTAGTGTATGGCAGATCCTATCATTCATGCTTAAAAATTATGGTATAAAAAGTGTCAGAATCATTTATGTGGAACTCAACTTTATCAATTACAATTATGTAGAATGGGGAAAAAAATTAAAAATTCTAAATATTTTTAAACACACACTGATCTTCTGCATCCTGATGTATACTGAGCACCTATTGCATGTGTTAACAAGACAATGTCACTTTTCCAAATTACAGTAAAGTGATAGTGTCTGTACAAACTGCCACCCATTGATAAGCACCTCCCCAGTATCTCAGCAGGCACAAAATACCCCCTGCCTCTTGGTATGGTAGAGTAAGTGGCCTCCTTCTACATCACAGGATGTTGAAGGAGGTGACAACTCTGCCCCACTAGGCTTCAACAACCAGCCAACACCAGGCCAGGCTACTGATTGTGCAAGAGGAGCTGCTATCAGATATCAGTGACAAGTAGTTGTACAAGGACAGTACATGGCATATGGCTGATAGCTGAGAATTCTCGCTGGGACCATTGCTGGAACATGGCTGCTTTTCTAATGAAGTGATGGCAACAGCATGAGTCAATAAGAGTCTTAAATGCACCATACCCCCTTTTCATTAGTTCCGAGTAAGAAAGGAGTGGACATTCCCTAGCAGTCTGGAGGAGAAGGAGGCAGAAAGAGTTGGTGGGATCTGGATGGAATGTCATATATTATATATATATATATATATATATATATATATATATATATATATATATATATACATATACATACACACACACATATACAGTCAGGTCCATAAATATTGGGACATGGACACAATTCTAACATTTTTGGCTCTATACACCACCACAATGGATTTGAAATGAAATGAACAAGATGTGCTTTAACTGCAGACTGTCAGCTTTAATTTGAGAGTATTTACATCCAAATCAGGTGAACAGTGTAGGAATTACAACAGTTTGCATATGGGCCTCCCACTTGTTAAGGGACCAAAAGTAATGGGACAATTGGCTTCTCAGCTGTTCCATGGCCAGGTGTGTGTTATTCCCTCATTATCCCAATTACAATGAGCAGATAAAAGGTCCAGAATTCATTTCAAGTGTGCTATTTGCATTTGGAATCTGTTGCTCTCAACTCCCAAGATGAGATCCAAAGAGCTGTCACTATCAGTGAAGCAAGCCATCATTAGGCTGAAAAAACAAAACAAACCCATCAGAGAGATAGCAAAAACATTAGGCGTGGCCAAAACAACTGTTTGGAACATTCTTAAAAAGAAGGAACACACCGGTGAGCTCAGCAACACCAAAAGACCCGGAAGACCACGGAAAACAACTGTGGTGGATGACCGAAGAATTCTTTCCCTGGTGAAGAAAACACCCTTCACAACAGTTGTCCAGATCAAGAACACTCTCCAGGAGGTAGGTGTATGTGTGTCAAAGTCAACAATCAAGAGAAGACTTCACCAGAGTGAATACAGAGGGTTCACCACAAGATGTAAACCATTGGTGAGCCTCAAAAACAGGAAGGCCAGATTAGAGTTTGCCAAACGACATCTAAAAAAGCCTTCACAGTTCTGGAACAACATCCTATGGACAGATGAGACCAAGATCAACTTGTACCAGAGTGATGGGAAGAGAAGATTATGGAGAAGGAAAGGAACTGCTCATGATCCTAAGCATACCACCTCATCAGTGAAGCATGGTGGTGGTAGTGTCATGGCGTGGGCATGTATGGCTGCCAATGGAACTGGTTCTCTTGTATTTATTGATGATGTGACTGCTGACAAAAGCAGAAGGATGAATTCTGAAGTGTTTCGGGCAATATTATCTGCTCATATTCAGCCAAATGCTTCAGAACTCATTGGACGCCACTTCACAGTGCAGATGGACAATGACCCAAAGCATACTGCAAAAACAACCAAAGAGTTTTTTAAGGGAAAAAAGTGGAATGTTGTGCAATGGCCAAGTCAATCACCTGACCTGAATCCGATTGAGCATTCATTTCACTTGCTGAAGACAAAACTGAAGGGAAAATGCCCCAAGAACAAGCAGGAACTGAAGACTGTTGCAGTAGAGGCCTGGCAGAGTATCACCAGGTATGAAACCCAGCGTCTGGTGATGTCTATGCGTTCCAGACTTCAGGCTGTAATTGACTGCAAAGGATTTGCAACCAAGTAATAAAAAGTGAAAGTTTGATTTACGATTATTATTGTGTCCCATTACTTTTGGTCCCTTAACAAGTGGGAGGGACATATGCAAACTGTTGTAATTCCTACACTGTTCACCTCAAATTAAAGCTGACAGTCTGCAGTTAAAGCACATCTTGTTCGTTTCATTTCAAATCCATTGTGGTGGTGTATAGAGCCAAGAATGTTAGAATTGTGTCGATCCCAATATTTATGGACCTGACTGCATATATATATATATATATATATATATATATATATACACACACACATATACACACATATATATATATACACACACACATACATACACATATATATATATATATACACACACACACACACACACACACACATATATATATATATACACATACACACACACATATACATATATATACACACACACACACTGTGATATAAATATGGAGGTGAGAGTTCTGTGAACAAAGAGGTGGCACTTTATTGTGTGAAGTTAACAAGCAGTGTTGGGTGTTGGAAAAGCATGCACATAGTGTGGACTTTGTGAACTGATGCATTTATTGAGCTTTTGTTTGCACATGTTTTAATGCAGTAGAAGTTCACACACACACACTTATTTTTTTATGGTACATAAGCGATTTATAATTTTTTTTTTTCTTACACAATAAGGGTTTCAATTATCAATAATAGCAGCGTAGCATCACCCATCACAATATTGCATTTCATTAAATGTGAGAACACATTTTGATGCTAGCAGCAGCAACAGTAGATATTTAACTACTTCCAGACCGGACACTTTTACCCCCTTCCTGACCAGGGCAATTTTCAGCTTTTAGCGCTATCACACTTTGAATGACAATTGCGCGGTCATGCAACACTGTACCCAAATGAATTTTTTACCATTTTTTTTAGATAGATAAAGTTTTATTTTGGTGGTATTTATTCACCACTGGGATTTGTATTTTTTTTGCTATGTAAATGAAATGTCCAAAAATTTTTTAAAAAAGTGTTTTTTTTAATAAAATTTTGCAAATAAATAATATTTCATCATAAATCTTAGCCAAAATTTATTCCGTTATCTTTTTAGTAAAAAAAAAAATCCAAATTAGTTTATAAGCAAAAATTATAATTTTTAAACATTTTTTTTTTACATTTTTATATTATTATTTTTTTTTTATTTATTTTTTTTTTACATACTGTCACCCTAGCAGTACAGTGTCACCATGGTGACACTGTACTACTTCTAAGGGGTGATAAAGATTTTTTTTTTTTTTTTACACTGATTGCTTTTACACCCATATAGGGTGTAAAAGCAATCATTTCTCTTTCTCTCTGTGTGCATTCCTACACTCATTGAGAAATACAGAGTGAGCTGTGATTGGTCACAGCTTGTCACATGGTACAAGGCTTTTGTGAATAGCCTTGTACCATGTGACCTCTGTGATCATTCACAGATTTCACACATAGTAAGCAATGATGTCAGAAGTGACATCTTGCTTACTACTTTGCATGTGATCACTGATTGGCCAATCAGTGATCACATGATCGGGACCTCGTACAGAGGTCCCGTCCGATGATCGGTGTTTCACTGTGTCCGGAGGACACAGCGGGCACCAGATCGCGGTGCTGCGTGCTCCCAGGGAGCGCGCACAAGCAGGGTGCGGGGAGGCCGTTTCTAGACGGCCACCCGACCCTGCAGTGCCACCGTCCGGCCGTTTATATACAACGGCCGGTCACCGGTCAGGAAGTGGTTAAAGAGATACACACCTAGTACACGTGTATGCATGTCACTTTGTTTTTAGGTAGCACAGGAGTTTTATAATTTATTTAATGTAGTCCTGAGTTTAGTCGTATGGAAAAATGTGATTGGCTCAGTGCCAAAAATAGGTACATGAGCCACTTTGGCACATTTGTCATGTGTAGGGCAGCCCACTCAAGTAAATGAGCTGCCCTATGTGGTCGCATGGCAAAAAAATGTGATGTGTTGCTCAACTGTGAATGCACCCTAAGGGTGTGCAGGGGGTGCGAGCAGTATTTCTTTTTTTTATCATCCAGTTCTCTGCTATTTTAGATAGCAATATAACTACATTTTTGGATTTGGAAGGAAAACCACATACACTACATTTTACGCTGTTTAAACAGCTGAACAGGACCTTTTTAAGTTTAGTCTTAAATTTTGCATGCCTGGATTATGTATCAATAGTATGAGAAGCTCCCTGCAGACACCTCCAGCACCACTTTATGAGTTGTGTCTAACATTTATGGATACTGCCACTAGGACTAAATGTAGAAACGTATATACCCTATTTCTCAGATATGCCCCCTTTCAGAGTTTTTCACTACAATTCTGACAAGTCACTCAGCTTTGTTCATGCCCCAAGTAGAAACATTCTTTCTTCACTAATGTCTAAATCCCCATTACATACACTATTCCCTTACTAGTGTTTACATCACTATGGTACATCATGTTGCCCTGCTTTCTCCCATGTCAGCACTAGCTCATATCACAGCTCTCCTGATGCTGCTTGCAGTAGGTTCTCTCAAAGATCTTCTTCCACTGTTTTAAATGCTACTCTTGTCCTGATACAATTTAAGTAGATTCTTTTTTACGTCTCCCTCCCCACTGTTTTAAGGCAGCCTTTTCTCCCACTATTCTTAACTATTTGTTCTCCTCCCAATCTGCCTCAATCCTAATCTGCAATAAAGTCCACTGCATTCAGCACTATACTCTCTCAGATCCCTTGTGTTTTATGCTGTACCTTAATTTGGAGCCCTCTGACAGCTGCACTTGTACTCCTGTCTTTCTGACCAACCCATGAAAATACATGACCAGTTCCTACTCACCTCTACTCTATTCCTTGTTCAAGTCTGCTTTCTCCTCCCACCAGTTCACAATTAGCTCTTCACTCTTGTTTTCACCCCCCTCAATCTCCCCATCTGGTCTATGATTAGCTTAAACTGTGCCTCTAAGCTATGCACTAAATAAAAATGGAAAGAAAAACAGAATACAGGAACGGTGATGCTAACCTGTTGAAGATGGCCTTTCCTCCCACACTCTGTTGGTTAAAGGGGTTTTCCTGTTACAGTCACCTTCTGAGTGTACTGAAGATGCAGAAGGAGGACGTTCTCCAGAGGACTGTCCCGGAGCTGGTGACTTTGTTTTCCGGCTGTTTGGCCTTGATATTTTGGGCTTTCCTCCACTACCTGAAATTAAAAAACAGCCTCAAAGTATTGTTAAACTCCCCTAAACTCATGTAAATAAAGTCTGTAAAAGCCATCGATTGTAATAGCCATCGCAATAGTAATACTGGACTCTTTAAGGATGCTATTACAAGTCAGTTTCCTCCTCACTGCTCCCTCCTTGTCATGGCTTAGACACCCCTTACATCACAAAATATGCTGACAGAAAAGTCACCAATGAAAAGACAATCCTAGTATAAATGTTAGAAAAGGATAATAAAAATGGGTAGGTCTTATGTTGCAAAAAAACCCCCAAAATTTGGCCTAAATACCATTTAACCTCCTCGGTGGTATGATTATTTCCGATTTTTTGTGCTGAAAGCGATACCATTTTTTTGCATGGAAATATGTAGTTTTTTATTGTAGGCTGTAATTTTTAGGAATAACTCACTGAAATCTGTCCGAACAAGAGTCTAGTAAACATCCCGGGTAGGATAAAATGTGAAACACGAAATCATAAATTATAATTTAATAAATAATCATAAAAAATAATAATATAATAATAATACATTTAATTCAATAATATAATCAAACCAAAAATACTGAAATTTGAAATACAGAGGCAAATTCGCACATCACTGAGCAAAGTCGCAAAATCGTTTTCAGTGTCTGATGACGAATTTCCCCACGAATCATTATCACTCAATTCTGCAAGTGGTTCTGATTTACTATCGCTGTTCTCTAGCTGATCTAAACCCGCTTTTGACGTAAAGGGACGCTTTTTGGACGCCATGGACTTTTCTAAGCTTCCAGGCAGAAAGGTCAAAATGCAGGCAGGGCACAGGACAAAGCAGTAGGGACAAAATGTATGTGAAATGCATTGAAACAGCAATGTTTTACTATGTAATAGTCATTTTTAAAAAAATTAAATTTTTAAAAAATTTCAAATTTGCCGCCGGTTCCGGCGCCCGTACGTCCCGACGTCACAGAGACCGGAACACGGAAGCAGGATGTCGGCATCGGCCGGAGGAGATGGCTGGGGACGCTGCAGGGGACACATCGTGGGAGCGAAGGACAAGGTAAGTGCTGCAGGGAATCCCTGTGCAACGCCACATGGTAAGCCCGAGTGTAGCTCGGGGTTGCCGCTTTTGTTACTGACATTTTACCCCGAGCTATACTCGGGAATACCGCTAGGGAGGTTAATAGTAAGTTAAAAAATCCCCTTTTCTTGATATGACATTAAATCGGCACATGATTGGGATCACCCTAGAGTTGCATGACGGGTCTCTAAACTATGGAGTCAATTCAGTAAACTGTATGTGATTTTTTTTCACAATACTTTAAGTTTCTCATTAATACATTAAAAGACAAATATAGCTATTATTTTTGCACTCCTGTGACCCAGAAGCTGGTCCAGGCTCTGAAAGGATCCTGACAATAATGTTGGGATCCACTCAGATGTCTGACCAGCAGCTGGCTCAGCCTCTCAATGCAATAGAGAGAGCCAGCTACTCCCACCTCCTCCCCAGCCCGGCATTCCAGTGAGTGCTGGAGGGGCAGAGCAGAGAGTGGTGACTGACAGTCACTTCTTTCTGCTCAGAAAGCATCTGTGATTACTCCGTTCTCGGTCTTGGAGCAGGCGGGGGACAGCTGCAGCATCAGACCAATGCTGCAGCCATATAGGTGAGTATGTATTTTTTTTTTTATTTCCCCACACAGATATTGCATAGGTGTATGTTGCTCTTTATAGTCATAAAACATCAAATTATAACATACATAATGCTGAGACCCCCAAAATAAAATTCAATGTGAAAGTCCCAAAGAATTAATATATATTAAAATCCCCCCTACGCAAACTCCCCCCCGTGCTTCAAAAGGCCAATAAACAGTCCTCTGCAATCCAATCAAGTAAAAATGTAGAACAAGTTTTCATGTATTGCACCCCATGCTCTAGTGCTCACACCTCTCCCCAAAGAGACTCTTCAGACAATCATGCCTCTCATATCAAAGATTGGCATGTTGCACTTTATAAATTAAAGTTGCAGACCTCCCGATGGCCCACGATTCCTATACACCAAATTTTCTTCAGATGCCAGGCTCACTCACAAGGGATATAGGAAAAAGAAAAGGCTCCAATAGTATATTTCCATTAACTCACGCACACTCAAAGCTACTCATAAGTACAACAGTAATCATGCTCTTTGACATAGCCCATTCAATAAGACTGCCACAATGTCAGAATCGCAAGAACCGGGAGCTTTCACCCAGAGTAAAGGCAAATCAGTCACAGCCCAGAAAAGCTCATGCATCACATTAGGTTGCCATACAGCCATTCTGACACGTTTCAACCTTGCGACTTTGTCTAGGGGATCCCCTAGACAAAGTCGTAAGGATAGAGCTTGTCAGAGCGTGGCTGCACAGCAATTGCATGTGGCATCAGAGGCTGTACTGGAAGTGATGCATTGGCTTTATCTGAAGTGACATATTGGGCTGTGAGTAATTTACCAATACTCTGAGTAATAGCTCCCGGAACTCACGATTCTGACATTGAGGGGGTCCTATTGAATGGGCTATGCTGAAGGGCATGATTACGGTTTTAATTGTGAGTAGTTTTAATCATTTAATAAAGTGTGAGTAGTATTACGGAATTACACTTCTGGAACCTTGTCTTTTTCCTGTATCCCACGTTAGCGGGCCTGGCAGTTGAAGGAAGTTTGGAGTTCAAGAATCCTGTGGCAACAGGAGACAACTTTAATCTATAAAGTACAACATATCAATCTATAATACGAGAGGAATGATTGTCTGGCAAGTGTCAGCCTCTGGGGAGAGGTGTGAGCTCTTGAACACGGGGTGCAACACACAAAGTTTTATATTACTGCGTTTTCACTTGATTGGATGGCAGACGACTGTTTTATTGAGCTTTGAGTCTTTTCACCTTTTGAAGCACAGAGTGAATTTTGTAATTCATATAAAAATTAAACGTGAAAAAATGTTATATTAATTCTTTTAGACTTTCACGTGGAATTTTATTTTAAGGTTCCTGGTGCTACATATTTGTTGTAATTTGAGGTTTGATCACTTTGTTATTTATATAGGGGCAGATTACTACAGTGGCTTCCATTCTTTTTCATTGCAACAGCAATCAGGCTGAGTACACCAGGTGCCGGGCTTAGGCACTTCTCTTGTGAGTGTATTCTTTTAGATATTTCCCCAAAATAAAGGTATTAAGCGGTTTTACACTATGGGATGTCCCCTTTCAGTTTGTTATGGTGATATATTGCATGCCTTGCCTGTGGAGGTGAGGAGACAGTGGGCTCCCTGGAATTTATTATCTGGTACGGACCATTCCAAGGATAGGTGGTCACAAGCTGCAACATTCGATTTACTGGGGTAATCCCATAAGCGTGAATGACCATTCTAGAGATAGATGGTCATTGGATGATGGTAAGTGTCAGTCCATGTGGGGCACTGTTTTGTGCACAGTGGAGCGCTCGTTATGTCTTGGAAAGAGTTATCAATCAACATATGAAACTAGGAATTGAACACCAGCACTCTTAACTTAGTTCACTAATTTGGGACTGAGTTATATTTCATTGTATATATGCACATGATATGCGCAGTCTATGTGGTTTTCAAATATTTACTTATTGCTTTTTATAGTTGTTTAACATTAAATTGCACTACTTTTCTTTCCTCAATAAGTCTCATTTTCTTTTACCACTAAACAATGCAACTTACCAGCTACAGATTATTATTATTCTGCAGCCAGTACTGTTTGCTATATCAGCCACTAAATGACACCATGGGGTGATTTACTAAACCTGGAGAGTGCAAAATCTGGTGCAGCTCTGCATAAAAACCAATCAGCCTCCAGTTTTTTTTTTTTGTCAAAGCTTAATTGAACAAGCTGAAGTTGGACGCTGATTGGCTACCATGCACAGCTGTACCAGATTTTACACTCTTCAGCTTTAGTAAATCTACCCCCATGTCTCAGGGTGTGCAATGTCTTTACTACTTTTATTTGCCATGCAAATGTTTTTAATGCCAAGTGTTCTATACTTGAGTGCCTTTACTCTGGAGCCTTGACTTTCTCATATTTTAAGTGAAAAAACATATGTTGTAACCTTTCAATACAATTTGAATATAAGAACACCAAAATAAATAATAAAGCTTCCTTTCCAAAAACTCAACTGATTATTGCAGCCAAGGGGCCCTAGTAGTCGAAAAAACTGTGCAGCTTTTTAAAATGTGTACATATGTAAATACCATACCTATAGGTCATTTACACTCCTACAAATGCCTGGCTGAAAAACTCCAATACTTATCTTTACCCCACCCGGTCCAGTTATTAGGACGGCTGGAGTGTTTTAGCTGCAGTTATCTATTGGGGCCCCTGAACTACATAGGCTATTTTCTTTTAAAGAACAGCACAAACATCTCTAAAAGCAACAGAGAGTTATGAAACCAGCAACTAGAAATGTTGATGGCAATATACATACTGAAAAATCACTTGGTAACATAACTCAAAAATAGTGTATAAATTCATATAATCTCTCCTGGAGCTAGCTGGTCTATGGGCTAGTAGCCAAAAGAGAGAACCAATAAGCTCTAATTCAGGCCAATCCCACACTTACATAAGGAACTGAAGGATGCACCTCTACATTTATTTTACCAGGCTCCACTGGTCTTTAAAGCAGAATTTACCTATAGCATTGTCCTGCAGTTCAGGGGTTAGAGTTGTGGCACTGGGATAGTCCCATTTTTGTTTTATTTTTTTTATAAGAGTGAACTTAGCCTTTAAATTAATTACAAACAATTTCCAATCATTACAGAAAACACCATACACCTTTTACTTTAGTGAACTGACGCCTAAGCATTAAATAAAACAGGGTTGTTGTATCCGCATGTTAGAAGGGAATATACACTCCTGTGAGCTCCAAGAGTTAACACAGCAAAGTATAATAAAACATTGCAGGTCAAGAGAACTGACAGCAGTCGATAAATGCAACTAGAGCTCAGGCGCTGAAATATAAACCCCATTCCATTTTTTGCTCTTGCCCCACAATAAATAGCAAAGACTGAAATATAAAAAGTACCAGAGAAGATAAGGCAGGAAATGCTTTATACTGTTACAAAAGACAGGCAAGTGTGGAAGAGAAAAGAGAACGTCAAGGAGGCCGAAGAACTAGTTAATAAACATTAGGAAAGCCCAAAAGTGAGAAATGAAAAGCAGCAGCAGACCTGGCAAAGACCGCATGTCGTCATTCCGTCCATCAGCAGCTGTTATGGATATAGCAGAGGGCAGGCTTGTGTTGGCATTCAAAGGGTTAAAAGCATTGGTATTGAGTGCTGAGCGGTCTTCCCACTGCTCATCATATTTACCCATTAGGGCCTTTCTAATTATGGCCTCCAACCCTATGTTGCTGCCGGAGCTCTCCTGCACAGACTGCGTTCTGCAACTGATTGGTCCTAGAGGGAAAACAAGAAAAATTAAAAGAAAGCTATTATTTAAAGTGTTCCTGTCCCATGGCGTGGAAATCCGTGCCCTACACATACAACTTTCTTATGGCACAGGCAACATTGTTTATTTTTGTATAAAACATTTACAGTTTATAAGAATAGAAAAACCACTACATTAATGATGCTTGATGTGAAATGAATTAAAGTGTACTCACTTCTGGTAAGATATGTGTAGCAATGGAGCATGATATGAAGAATGTGCAATAAGGTTAGGGTAACCATAAGTAGCCTGTTAGATATGGGCCCTTTAAGATGTTTTAACTCTGTCTGAAAATGTACTTTTAATGTCATGAATTTACTAGTAAATTGATTTGGGGCACTGATCAATTTAAAGTATTTTTTTCTTCTTGAGAACTAAAAGCACTGTGTTTACCAACACTAGTAAAGCCTGGGTGTCGTAAATTGACATGCCAAAATAGATGCATATTTTATTGGCTCAAGAAAGCTCACATGGCCCATTCTGTTCCTCAAGTTTTAAACTCACCATCTAAAGCATACTGGGAATATATGATTGTTGGAATATGGAAGGATATTAAGAGAATACAGTTTTATGGCAGTTATGTGGCAGATTTACCCAATGCTTACTGCAACCAATCATGCCTCAGCTTTTATCTTTTAATCTACACAAGAGACAAACACAGTCAGGTTGATGTTGACAACAAATATATTCTCCTCTTTTCTTTATCAAATCCCAGATAGCTCTTCAGCCTTTCCGGTTTCTAGTTTATAACAACTGCATTTTAACAATTTCAAATGCAGGCCAATTCTGACATTTCTGTCATACATGTAAAGGTTTGCACTTTTTTGCTATAAAATTACTTAGAACCCCCAAACAGTATATTTTTGTTTTTAAGCAGAGACCCTAGAGAATAAAACAGTGGGTGTTGCAATTTTTTTTATATCACAGCATATTTGCACAATGTTTTTTCAGATGCAAAATGTTTGGAAAAAATATACTTTAATACATTTTAGTGAACACAAACAAAATATAATATCCAATTTTTTGTAAAATATAAAGAGGAGGTTACGTTGAGTAACTAGATACCAAACTCTTTAAAATTGTGCATGCCTGTGGAATGATGACGAACTATGGTAATTTAAATTATCCATGGGCAACAGTTTAAAATCCTTTTCGAGTTTAAAGTTACACAGGAAGTCTGGTGCTAAAATTATTGCTTTAACTTTGATGTTTGCAGCGATACCTCACACGTGTGATGCGATTGCAATTTACCTATGTGTGCATTCGCATTTGTGCGTGAGGACAAATTGCTTTAAATTTTTAAAAAATTACTTTTATTTATTTTTTTACACTGTACCTTTGTTTTTTTGGGATCAACTTTATTGCAATCACAAGGGATGAACAACATCACCTTAGCATGGATCGTGACAGGTCCTCTATTTGGAGAGATCTGACAGCTGATCAAACCAAGATCAGTCTGATCAGCTGCTTTACAAGCCATTAATGGCTTGTAAACAAACTGGAAGTGATAAAATGGTTTATGGTTGAACTAGATGGACTTTTATCTTTTTTCAGCCAGACTAACTATATAACTATATGTAAAATGCTCATTACTTCTGGTTTCTGATGTCACACTCTTTACAGTGCATCTGTATTGGACAGGAGAGCCTGGTAAAGGTGGGGGTGGTAGAGGGACCCCCTTCTGCTGCCTGTAAAAACATACTAGGGTCATGACTGTAGCTGCAGCCATGATCCTGATATAACCACCTCAATATGAGGTCGTGTATATATATATATATACGGCCTTGTTTAGGTAGTTAGAGAAAGCATATGGAGTTTTTGGTTGCTGAGAGTACTGGTGTGCAAGGTATGATGTGTTTGCCAATATGTATACACTCTTCTCCGCTCCAAAAATCCAGATACTGGCAACCAAATGATTAATCTTGAATCTTAGCACTCAAATAAATGCCTGTGGAAATAATGACTTATAAACAATGCTGGTGTTAAATCTGCTCAGAATAAATTGTAGACAATTCAACTAATAGTTGAATTAGACACGAGTGCCACAATCAGATGTAAACCTTTTTGAAAGAATAACTGGAAAGTAACTACAGCTTGCAAATATTAAAAAAAAAAAGCAAAACAAAACAAAACCAAAAAAAAAAACCAAAAACAAAACAAAAAACAAAACCGAAAAAAAAACTACCTGATCCTGTAATTGCTGGCATGTTAAATATTTCTGTTCCTGGTTGTCCAATGTCTAAAAAGCAATTAAAAACACAAATCTAATTACAGTAAAATACAAAACATCAAGTTAAATCATACATTATCGTTCAATGAATAAAATACATCAATTATCCAGAGCGGAGAAAAAAATCACGACTTCTGTTTATCCAAGAAACTTTTTTTCCATCTCTCAACTACAGAAAATCATGTTACCAGTGAATCCAGTTTAGAACTTATTTTATTTAATCACTTCACCTTCATCTGAACGATTTTTTTTGCTCCCTGCCAGAAAACAGTCCCACAGGAATTGAGCCTAGCAAGCATATCAGATGAACCATTAGTCCCATAGATCAAACAGCAGTGCTCTGCCTCTCAACATCAGATTTGCTGGTGCTGTAGATCACTTCAGAGTGCTGAAAGATGATGTGGTGGTAATAGTGTCCCACGGTGATGACAAAGCACTGCCTGTCAGTTCAGCTACCAGGTAAACTGAACAGAATACATTTTAGCAGTGAAAATACGCCTTACAAATTAACCTTCTCTGTGACATGCTGTGCCCTGGCAAGATAGTAGGTAAAATCTCAAAACACAGGTTTGTAAAGGAGCAAACTTTTCTGACTTTGTCCCAAGAACAAATTTTCAAACCACCCCCTCCCCAAAAAAAGCTAAACTTCTTCCATGTGAAAAAACAAATGTGGAAACTCTTACTATACTCTGGCTCATTCCTGTTGGCTGTACTAAGCTTTTTAATGATTTCTTGTTTCTTGGATTTAACCATAGCAGAGGTGCTCTCAGTCAGCTTACTGAAGAACGCCGGGGGTTGTGTGCTGTTCCCTGGGGATTTCGAACCCATTCTGTAGAGAAAGATAACTAAAGGTTATAAATCTTTACATAAACTAATAAGTATCTAGCAGTTACAGGTTACTTGAACAGGCAGTCTACCTTCAAAGTGATATATCAATTTTAGGTAGAACGGCATCACTTTCAACTAAATTTGCAACCGAGTTCCCAACTCCATCCCCCTTTCTCAGCCATAATGAGGGAGTCTTCTTTATTTTATCATATGGAAAATGTAGGCATAGGATTGAAACTCCATGACGGGAGGAAGAGCCAATAACTGTGCTGTCAAATTCTTGCCAGACTCTCCTTTAAATGCACAATATATTTTTTTATCAAACCTACAGCCCCTTTTAAGGGTCACAGTAATTTGGACAGGAAAAAAAATTGGAAATAGATAAAAAAAAAAAAAAGGACTGCATTTCGTATGTGAAAAGAATCAGTGGAGAAACTTTGGCACTATATGTACATAAACGTAACGCTGAACTCTGGGAGTTTATTATGTCAATGTACAAGGAGCCACACATGAAAGCCAGCGATAGATGGATCAGATCTCTGCCGATTCAGGAGGGACTGGCCGAGATTCAATCCATCTATGGGCAGGCTGATTGTACCAAAGTAGATCCATTAATCAACTTTGGTACAACCAGCATGTCAGATTTTCAGCATGAGCTATAGCCACTAGCAATGATCATTGTGCTCTCCTAGCATGGACGTTTCCCCGTGCCCACCGCTGAGAGGACACAATAGCTCAGAGGGGGGGTTTTCGAGCGATCATGGGGGAAATCACATCATATATGGTCTGCTTAAATGCAGAACAAAGGGCAATGGGGTCTTTTGTGGATGGTTTTCAACTTTTATGGTAATCAGGATATTGACATGCTTAGATATAAAGGAACAATCCAACTGCAGTCCAGCATCTGTACCAGCCAGAACTCCTCTAAACACTAACACGATCTCGTGTGTTGGCTTTTCAGGGAGAAAACAATAATGATGGGACAAAGTCTTCTAACCTTTCCGTTTACTATTCTCCCTGATGAGTTTCAGTCAGTGATTGCAATATATTCATTGACATTAGATTGTCTCCCAATCAGGTAAAAATGGAACACTGTCATACTGTCATCTAATGTCTGTGAGCATCTTTTACCTAATTTTTACTCATTACATCGTTACTTCAGTGAATTTAAACAAAAATTCATTTTTGTTGCACAGAGCTTACAAGTTCATTTCTAGACTTTTAGAAGTTAGGATAGAAAACTAGAGAAATGTTCACCGGGCCTGAACTGCAATTAAAAAAAACTGACAGACCACAGGAAATGGTAAGATGGGGCTGAAAAAAGTGACAGAGAGGTCAATCCTTATCCTACCCATTGGGGTAGATTTACTAAAACTGAAAAACCTGGAAGATGATTGCTTTCTATGGAAAGCTGCACCAGATTTTGCACTCTCCAGTTTTAGTAAGGCCCCTTTCACACGGATGTTCCAATAGGGTCCGCCTGCCCATTTTCCAGGAGAACCAGATCGGAACACCTAAAAGACAGATGGGGATCCATTCCCCTTCCATCCATCGGAAGGGATGGGATGGCAGTTGGATGGAAATGGACAGGCGGTCCGTTTCCATCCGACCGCCCATAGAGGACAGCAGGCTGTGTTTGTGTCCGTTCTGCAGCAGCGGAGCGGACATGGACCTGTCATCCACTTGCTCAGTGGGGATCAGCAGAGATATCTCCCACTGAGCAAACGGATCCAATGACAGATTCAGCCTGTGTGAAAGGAGCCTTAATCAACCCCATTGTTCTGTTACACAATTATAGATTTCTTCTGAACTTTCTATACTCACAATACCCTCATCAGCATGCATTGAAAATGATCAGGTCTATGTCTACAGAATGCAGACACAGCTAATAAAGTTTGAGCACAGCTAATACAGTTTGAATTCTAACCACATGAAAGTTAAATAATATAGAAACTTTGCTTTTAGGAACTCATAGAATAAAGAAAGCAGTTTGTTAATTTTGAAAGAAAAACATTTTTTGTTTGCGGCAAGGTAGCACTGTCGAATTATTACACCGATTTAGTGTTTTGTTTTTTTTCAATTAAAGCAAGTCATCTATTTGAATACATGTTTTGATACACCATCATTAGACCCACCCACATCGCCCATATTAGTAGTTGCTGCATAACAGTGTGCGGTTAGAATATATTTTATCAAAAGGCAGCTGGAAAAACATTTGGAAGGCAGAAAGTGCCTGGATATTGATGGAATAAAGGCTGGCATGCTTTAAGAGTGTTACCTTGGTTCTGTTTGTTCTCCCTCTCTATATAAAGTTGGATATGCAGAACTTCTGGTATACTCTGGCTGACTCATGCCCTCTGGTGGAGAAATGGGGTCAATACCATCTTCTGATCCACTCAGCGCAGAAATCTTGTTTTGATCTGGTGATCTAAGGATCAATAAAGCTCACGTTTATCTACTGTGCAAACGAGTTTTAAAGAGCTTTTCCACTTACAAAAAGAAAGTGGACAACCTGTTGGCTTGTTCCCTCCACAATTGGATTCTCCTGATCACCTGCTTGAATAGTGCTCTGAAGAGTGTTGATAAAAGGGTTCACGAGCCTGTGTTAAAGTGGAATTACACTGAATCTGAGCACCACAAGCCAAAAATGCTGTTTAATTCATTTTTAATATTCAAAGCAAGCTTGTGCATCCATCCATGTCTCCATGCTTTATTTTGCTGAGAAATCACTTTGAAAAACACCCCCTAGCATGTCTGGCCATGACCATCTTGAGTAAGGGCAGATGAGGCATTCAGCATTTACTTCCTGGATTCTCCTGCCCGTAGCTCAGGCATACAGGAGGAGGGTGTGCTTAGCTAGGAAAGCTGCCCCTCTCCTCCTGAAGACTCCTGGGATGTATGACATCAGACCTAGAATTTTCTACTTCACATTTAAAGCAGAACTCCAGTCAAAAGGTTTTTTTTCACCATACAGTTGGACTGTGCCCCCACTGCATGCATCAGGTGCTCATTTTATCTAGGGGTGAGCACAAAGCTGATACTCACCTAACTTCCTCTAGAACACCAGCGGTGGACTGTTCTTGTCTGTGGAGCATGGAACAGGAACAGTCCACTTACAAGACAGCTGAATTGGGCATAGGAGCCGAAGCGACCAGTCTTGTGCAGGGAGGATTGGTGGGTCAGGTGAGTATCTCTCTGCTGTTCTCTCCACTAGAGCAAAATGAGCAGTTAACCCGTGCAGGGCAGGCACAGCCACAATACACAAACAAAAGAAAACATTCAAACTACACTTAAAGTGGAACTCCCATCTCTCAATCAACATCTTAAACCTTATGCTGCTAGTTACTTCCTGGTTTCCATGCCTAGACAAATGATGTCATACGTCGCAAGAGTCTTCAGGAGGAGTTTTCTGAGCCAAGCACACCCTCCTGCTTGTATGCCTGAGATGGATTCCAGGAAGTAAATGCTACATGAATCATCAGCCCTTACTTAAGATGGCCACGTCCATAAATCCTAGGGGGTGTTTTTCAAAGTGATTTCTCAGCAAAATAAAACATGGAGACATGGATGGATAGAGGAGATTGCTTTGCATATTACACATTAATTACATAGCGCTTCTGGTTTGTGGGGCTCAGATGCAGTGCAGTTCTGCTTTAACAGGGTCATATTATAATGCTTCCAGGCAGCAATACAGCTGGAAAACACAGCAGCTTAAACACTGATATGTGCATTAAAGAGAGGTCACCCCATTACAGCCAGAATGAAGATTAAACCTGCCTTTTAGTAGAGGGCAGATCCAAACAGAGACTTTTTCCTGCAACTCTGCTTTTACCCTGCAGCTTTCTTCTCTTTAGAATCCACTCACCTTTTCTCCCCACTGCACCCTGGAGATGCCCTTGCAGTCTGACATACTTCTTGTTGAAGGACAGTGTCGGTGGGGTTTTGCCTTAGATCCAGCACAGGGCAGCCGGCATAATACAACGGTGCTGAGACTTGTTGGTGTAGCTGCTGTGGATGGTGCCGTGTGTAATCCTGTGTAATAACCTCCTGAATAACAAGAAAACAAAATGTTTAGCTTATGAACTGCAACAAGGAAATCCATCACCATCTTCATTATCAATATATGAATATTAACAATATCAAAACCTTTTTTTTTCTTTTCTTATGAAAAGTTGCATAGCTCACTTAAGGTTTGCACAACCGCCAGTTCATATTCCACTGGAATATTTAAAAGTGAATTAGAATTATGTGGTATGACATGCAGAAACAAACTGTGCCTTATCTCTTTTCACAGATACCTATGCGTATATTGATCAAGGATAAATGTGTGCACTTAGAAAGGGAGATGTGATAGTTCAGTATGGCTGAGACCTCATGCACACTGGAACGTTTTTCAGCTGGCAGCAGCAGAATGCTAAATGCACCAAAAACAAATGTAAATGTGGTATAGCTTTTAGCCAAATTTAGAGCTTAGACGTCTATTAATTTAATTGGCCAGAGTACTGGCCATTGAAAGGAAAAAAATGATTTGCATTTTTTGGCCAAAACGTTCCTCTCCTGAATGCAATTCTTCTGCGTTCAGGAGAGGGACGTTTCACTGGCCCTAAACGCTGCTGCTGTTAAAGTCTGATAAAAGTGTATGTGTGCATGAATACACAGACTTTTATTGAGTTGAGTTCAGGGGCTTTGGCAAAAAAAGTGAAAAGCTCTTGACTTCACATTAATGAGTACCAGTGTGCATGAGACCTGACTGTCTTTCTCCAGGTATGATTGGCCAAGGTCTGTTATGAAAGTAATCGGACTTCAACTCTGGATAAACCCAATCAGATTACATAGTGATCCTCAAAATTCTGCAGCTAAATTAGTAGCCCTTGCCATTATGAGCAGGAAAACATAACCCCCCCCCCCCCCTTTTTTTTCTGGCAGGCTTCTTTTCTTGTATGCATGCAGCAAGCTGTACAGGTGGGCATGGATGGTACATGTCGCAGAGGCATAGAAGAGGTCTATGCATGAAGTGCATTTTTTGATAGAGAGGGCAAGATGACCATATAGTATTTTACTGTAATCAATCACAAATCAGTTTCAGCTAGAATAACTACTAGGCTGCTATAAAGTGGTGTCTAATTGGTGGGTCATGTCACTATATGTACATTACTTAAAAGGTAATTCTCAATTTGCAACTAGGACTTGTATTTCATGGACTACTTTGTAAGGACAGACCATCGCTGAAACTGTATGCAGTAAAATGGTCTGCACTACCGAAACATTACAATATGAGGTCCATGAGCAAGTCCAATTCAGGATCTAATGAATAGGTCCCTCTTCTCCTTATATTTTGGTTTGGTATAGTAATGTTTTAAAAACTCCTAAAGTGGTGTTAAACCCAAAACCTAACATTTATTATATTGCAGCTTACCAATCACTGGTGTGGTGGCAGCATTTGTTTTCTTTTTTAGGTTTGTTTCCCTCTGTTTTCAACTTATTTGGCCAGTAACACACTAAATTAGAGTGCCCCCACTCTGGATGAAGGAGTACATGGGGACCTTTGGACAGTGGTATTGTTAACCTTGGCAGATGGGAGCAAGATGTACTGGTAGATTTGGATACACTAACAAATTGAAGCCAAACTCCATCTCACACCTTATAAGCTGTTACAGCAACTTTTTTTCCCTTTTCAGATAAAGGTTTCACATGGGTAAATAAAACCTGATCATTGTAAGCAGGTCACCAGGTGAAAATACAGGAAAGAAAGGCTAAAAAAACAAAACTAATCCAGCCATCACATCTAAGAATTGGTAAGCTACAATAAAATAAATGTTTGCTTTTGGGTTTAATACTACTTAAATAATAAGCCATTCATGGCTTTCAACATGCAGTCTATCACTCTGCTTAGCAGGTGCTTCAATTAAACTTGCAAGCTGCAGGGAAAGTTAATCTACTTTGGAAACCTTCACTGTAGCACAAATTCCTAGAAAGATTTGATGAGGGAACCTTGTCATATAATACACCAATCGTGGTGCTTGAGTGTTTATTTCAGGCTCAGACGCATATTGCACAGAGATGGCTGGCATCTGACCCTTCAACAAGTATAGAATGGGTTAAAATAGTAAAAAATACTGCAAGAAGTGAAAATCTTGTTTACACGAAAAGGAGGTGTCTTAAGAAATTTGAGAAAATATGGGGACTGTGGATGGATACTATGATATTGACCTCTAATGAGAGGGTGGTCAATAAAGTGTTAGAATAATTTTAAAGTGTGGAAATAAGAAATGAATGTATATTAAGTTTATCATTGGGAAAACGGCCTAATTGGCTTAAAAATATGGGTAAGAGAGTGAAACACCAATGTATGTGTGGGAAAGGGGGAGGGGGTAGGTTATGTTATTTGTATGTATGGAATATATGTATGTAGATGTAGGTTAAAAAGTTTTTCAATAAAAATGATTTGATACAAAAAAGAAAGGTTTATATCTCCTATTAGCATCTCGGATGTGGACTTGCTTTGCTTTTCTCACTATAACAATGAGAAGGCAACACATACACTTATATGCTGAGCCAGGGTGACTACACGTTGACTTTTCATATGAGGCCCAGACTGTGATGTGTGACATGGAGACTGCTGTCCATCGGTTTTCTGCCGCAGATGTCCTTCTGATACATGCTTCACAGACACTGTTTGGAAAAAAATGAAGAAGATATTTACAATTACACATCAGCATATTTATACCTTCCTTCCTGGTCTTGGCAGGCTGTCCTATTAATTCCCACAATCAAAAATTACCATAATATCCTAGTAGTAATTCAATTTAGTGAGCTGAATGAAAATCATCTTAAACTTTTTATGAAAACCTTCGCTGAGTTTGTTATTACTACCTTCTGCAGATGGTAATTCCAGAGTTTGATCCACAGTTATGGTAATGAACAGCTTTCTATATGGATAGTAAAATCTCATAACTTATATAATCAACCGTTGTCTCCTTGTCTTTTGTAATGCGTGTGGAAAAAAAAGGGGATCTGCCACATTTAATATTGACTTTTGATAGTAATTGTGGCAGACTCAACCGGGACAGGGGCTTTTGGAGGGGACTGCAGGTTAGCCTCTTGCCCACTGGTATCTGAGGGGGCTCTATTCTTCAGCATGCACCTGGGGGGGACCTTTTGGGGAGACATGGACTTGAATCCGAAGTAAATTACTCCAAACACACAGACTCTGAGAACTGGAGGACCAAGATACAGATTTGTGGTCTCCGTGCCCAAACTAGCATTGACTGCTTCAACCCCCCTCCTTCCTAGACTCAGAGACTCTAAGAAGAGGTTATAGTTCCACTTTTTCAAACTTGGAATATTGTATGAGTTTTGTCTTATGATGGGCAAATTATACAAGTGAAAGCAAACATCTGAAAATCAACATGTGTAATAGACTTTGTGTATTCAGGGTGTGGGCTTATTGCCAGTCGATCTTGGGTGGGCTCCCTGATTAAACAAAGCATTGGCTGGATGCCTGGCTGTTGATTAGCTTAATGTTAATTAGATCACCTTTAGCTGTATTGTTGACCATTTGCATTGTTTGGGAAAATGTCATCAAGCTCTTACCTAATTAGTGTGGAATGTTTGTCCTAATGTATAATATTTGTGTTTGTTGTTCCTGTGGGCACTGCCCCTATTTCTGGAGTGTATAAAAACCCGTGTTTTCTGTTCAATAAAGAGTTCCTGTTTGGCATCTAAGCTAGTCTCGTCTAGTCTTGGGTGCAATGCCCAGCTATTACACCTTGATCCTATGTCTCAGCGGTGAGGAAACGATTCTCTGACGGAGTCACCCAATCAGGGAAGACAGTGTCAGTAATGGTGGGACTCACCTGCCTTGTGGGCTGCAGTACCAGGGCTGGCCAGCGGGTGCTCTCAGCAATCAGAGACTCAACCCTGCAGTCAGCCAAACACCTGAAGCTGATTATGCAGGTGTATTTAAGGGATGGCCAGACCTGCAGTCTGTGCCTTGGTGTGTGTTTTTCTATGGGCCCCTGTATCTTGTTACCTGCGTTCCTGTTCCTGCCTGACTGACTCGTTGCCGACCCTGCCTGATCCTGACCTCTGCTGACTTCTCCTGTTTGATCCCTGGCTTGTGACCCCGACCATTCTCTGCCTGACCCCCTGTACCTACCTGCCCGTTAGTTGCTGTACCCGGCTCGTGACCTGACTACTCTCTGCCTGCTCCTCCTGTTCCTACCTGCCCGATTGTTTATTGACCCAGGCCTGCCTGACTACGCTTGCATTTTATGTATTGTTATCTGTGGGTGGTTTGGTTCGTTTGCACTGTGTTTTATGTTTTAGTATTGCACTGCGTTTGTATTGTTAGTATTAATAAATTATATTGTTTATAACATATCTGAAGCCTGTGTTTCCCTGTGTCAGTTCACATACCTCTGGTCATACCCGGAGCCCTGACAGACAGGCGTTCTGTTACAGGTAATCATATCTTAATCATTAATCAGATCACCTCTATTTTATTAAACTTACTGTCACTAGTTTTACTAAGGTCGGCCATAGGCGGTTCAAAGTGAACCAAGATTTCAACCGTGTATGGGCAGACTGAATGTACCAAATTGATCGATCAACTTTGGTACATTCAGCCTGCTGGATTTTCTTGCGATTATAAGCACCGTCTTCTCCAGTCTCACAACTCTAATTCTTCTACATTCTCTATTCAAATCTTCCAAAATATACATTGTTTTGGCTTTATCAGAAAAAAAAATATGTAACTATATATTTGAACTTTATGTGTACATGCAATAGTTTCAATCACCTTGTTTGTGCCGGGATTCATGCTCCAAACGGGTGTTGTCAGAGTCTTGCACAGAAACCCGGCCTTGCTTCTCATGAGGCATGCGTGGAGAACTCAGAGGGCTGACTGCATCATGCCTGTCAGGGCTGTACCCAGCTGGATATCCTAATCAGATGCACAGAGGTTAAGTATTTCAATCCAATCTACTTTGCTTCTAATACTGTCACGACAATGCAGCTGTGCAAAATGTTTTCACTTTAGTGGCCAGGATTCCTTTGAATATTGGAATCCATAGGGAGATTTCAATTAAATTGTACTACCACTAGAAGAAACTATAACAGCTCCTGGCAAAGGGCCTCCTGTGCACAGGCCTGCAAACAGAAAGAGTATGTATGATCACATCTTTTCTTTATGGTTCACAGAGGATACCAACAGGTACAAATGTAATTATCGGATATTGCAGGACAAATCTGCAGCAGTGTCATTAACTGTGAATAATCATGTCAGCTTTGAAATCATCAATTACAAGTGTCATGAGCTGCTGTATGTAGAGGTGTTACCTCTTAGGCTTGCCATACATTATACAATTTTCTTGTCCAATTTTCCTTTAGAATTACCAAGCCATATAATATGAGATCAAATCTAGTCACATTCAACTTGTATGCAATCAGCAGACCCTTGCACTACATAGATGAAGGTAAATCTAAGGGAAACTGAATAAGAAAATGGTATAATAGTATGGCCAGCTTTAGCAGATAACACAGAATACACATACTGTATGTCTGAACTTTCTGAGATTGGGAAAGATGGGAGCATTCTAGCACAAAGTATGTGGGCAAAGGACTCATCCCTGCCACACTCCTGTTACACGGACAATGCTTTTTTTCACCACTTTTAAAGATCAAATATAATGTTAAAATAAGTTAACCTCTTAGTGCCGAGAACACGCAAATATGCGCCTCTTGGTGGCTGGGCCTTGGCGCTGAGGGGCCACATATTTGCGTACCTGTTGTAAACAGAAGATTTCTGATCACTTGCAATTGGGAGCTTTCTGATCATGTGACCGCTGTGACAGCAAATCATGGCGGTCACATGGCCCTAAATCCCTCCCCGCCTTCCAGCGTCACAAAATCCTTAAAGAGTCGGGAAGCACTGGCACCAAGGGGTTAAAGTGGTTCTAAAGCATAAACATTTATTACCTTAATGTATTCCCTGTTTTAAGGTAAACAAATGTTTAGGTAGCAGTATGCCCCCTCCTCCCTTGAATACTTACCTGAGTCTTCACTCAATCCAGCACTGTGCCCATCTGCAATGACTCTCTCCTCTCCCCACTCTCACAGGTTTTGCTGAGGCAGCAGGAGCCATTTGAAGTCAAATCTTGTGACAAGGGAGTGTAGCCATTCGGGATGGAGCCCGCAAGTGTGCCACAATAGGAGGAGCCAGGAGCTCCAGCAGGGGACCTGAGAAGAGGAGGATCGGGGCCACTCTGTGCAATTGAATTATACATTTCAGGTAAGTATCAAGTATAGTTATTTTTTTTTTTTTTTTAAGTACAGTTCACAATCACTTTAAAGGAGAAGTACTGCCAAAGCTCTTTTGGCTATACTTCTTCAGTAGATCACAGGAGTGCAGTTCATTCTGTACTCCTGTTACCCATTTTCAGCCGATAGCGGGCTGTCGGATGAAACCTGGTCCAGGCTGGGGAAAGATCCCAACTTCAAAGTCGGGATCAACCCCAGATTTCCAGCCGCTCCCACTCCATAGCCCAATGCTCCAGTGAGCGCTGGAGCTGCAGAGCAGACAGCGGTGACTGACAGTCACCGCTTTTTGTTTAGATCTGCTTTAAGAACTCAGCGATCATGTGATTGCGGAGTTCTCACCTTTAGAGCCGGCAGGGGACAGATGCTGCATCCACCTAGGTAAGTATAAATAGGGAAAAAAAGCCCACACTTCTCTTTTAATACTTTGTTTTTCTTATTTTAGGTATTAGGCTTTGGATTTTCATAGCCTAATGACTGTATATTTTCTATGTTTTCTAAGATATATATAATTTGTTTAATTACTATATAAAAGGACCTCTCCTGATCCAGCCTTTGCTCAGGTAATGTTAAAGAACTAATCATACAGCAGAACATCTGGGCTCCATTTAAAACCCTTTCACGCTGATCAGTTTTGATGTACTTTTGAGGTTTAAAGAAGTGGAAGAAATTTGTCCTGCATGCTGCATCTTTGGTGCAGCTTTTCAAAAGCACCTTCCATTGTAAATCAACGGGAAGGCATCAAAAGCGCATCAGTGTGAAAGGGCCGCATGGGGGTTTCATCCGTGCCCATGATCCTTTCCCACAACGGAAATGGATCCCAGCTGTTGAATAAACACTACAGGGATTACTGAATACTACAAGAAATAGATTGTATCCAATGCCCTTGGTGCAATAAGATTGTTTAAATTGGTAATAAACCCAAAAATGTAATATATTGCAGCCTACCAATCATTAAATGTGGTGGCTGCTTAAGTTTTCTTTTTTTAGGCTTTTTTTTTCCTCTCTGTTATCCCCTGGTGATCTACCCAGTAACACACCTCCTGTATTAAGAGTGCCTCTACTCTGGATGAAGGAGCATAGGGGGCATCTTAGGACAGCTACATAGTCAGTCTGGGGGAAAGGGAGTTTCAGATGTACTAGCAGATTTAAATACACTAACAAATTGAAGCCAAACTCCAGCTCACACTTTATAAGCAGTTACAGTAAACAGTTTTTTTTTCTTTTGGGATAAAGGTTTTACATAAATAAATAGAAAAATACTGATCATTGTAAGCATCCCTATCAGTGTTTAATAGTTTGTTTCATCCCTGTAACTGCAAGAGAGCTTGTTCATTTGAAAAACAAGTGACTTGCTGGTTTGATTGCCAGGTGAAAATATAAGAAAGAAAGCCTAAAAATGAATACAGCTATCACATCTAAGAATTTCTAAGCTGCAATATAATTAAAGTTTGCTTTGGCGTTTATTACTGCTTTAATGTCTATTGTTTTGAAAGTCAAACTTGGCTCAAAGAACACTATGAGCAACTCAGTAGTGAAATACAACCCTACTGCCTATTTATATATACACTAAAGAATACAAAATTCTAAACATAACCAGGGCAATAAATGTTATGTCAATTAATATAGTAAAAACACTGAGCCATCTGTCATTTTAAAGAATAATTACTTAAGTTAAATCTGTCCCTAAGAAACAACACTGTTCCTTTGCTGTAAAAAGGAAGATGATGGAGAAGTTTTCAGTAAGGCAGAATTCTTCCTTCACACATTAATACATTTGTCCCACTACATTTGCCGATAAGGCATCAGCAAAATGCCATTTCTTTAAGATTATTGCCGACTCTCCTAAATTTATGTACCACAATTTCATGTCCTTTTTTTTGTTGCATAACTGCCATTCTTTGCCCAGTGAGAACACTTCAGTTGCTAATAAAGTACATCTAAAACAAAAATTTTTTTTTTAACTTTGGATACTGAAGAAATGGGAGAAAATTATTTTAAAGGAAAGGAAGTTTCCTCTTACAACAATAATCACCCAAACAGGTATATCTATTGAAGATCTTCTTATCTAGGACATCATAACGAAGTAGTTGCTTGATTAGATGCAAACATGCTTATCCTATTTTTATTCTACAATATAAAGAAAAGCAGATTGCTAGAACAGCACTAATTTATATGAGAAACACAATTAAAGTAAGATCGATTTGCTATAAAAATTAGCACTGCATTAAAAGTATTTTGATAGTTTAGGAATTTAAAGTCTCCAAATGTATGCTTTTAATGTATAAAAAATATACAGATTTCATAGTAGCCTGTTAGATATCAGAACCATATGTAGTGCAGCTAAGATGCCATTACTTCTAGAATTTAATTTATACATACATTCAGGCTGCAATCTATAGGAAATTTTAGAGGTCCACACACAGCGTACATTTTGCACAGTTATTCACTTCCACAACCAGACAGTCTTAGAACCAGAGCAGGCAATGTTGGGTACTGCTTGGCATGATTATAAGATGTTGGATATTGCTGAAAAATGTCACAGTGAGGACACGCCACCAAGCCAAGCCACCCCAGAGTGACTGCAATCTGCCAGCACTTAGACCCACAATCTGCATAAATAAGAGAGCAGCTAATCCTTTGGAGGCGATGGAATCACCAAATGCTGCAGCCTCTCCTGGGATCACCAGGACACAGGAGTTACTGCACTTTGGCTGAACTTTGTCTTATGATAATGACACACATGGGAATTGGGGGCTGTCATCTGGGCCACATTCAGGAAAAGTTAAAGCTGTAGCAGCATGCATCGTTTTTTTTTTGCAAAATGGGAATGCCTAATACAATGTATATTGGCCTGGAGATGAAGGAGGTGGTATAAAGTGATAAAGCCTTTACAGGTAGCATTTGTAGCTAAAGAAGTTAACTAATTCATATTGAAAAAAATCAAATAAAAGTGTTGTAGCTGTGTAAAACTGTTAGCCATTGATAAAAAAGTATGGATTTTAGGTAGTACTCTTTACAGGCTAACTTAAAGTGGAATTCCAGCTCACACCTAACAAGCCTTAAAACAGCCCACTTCCACCTTCTAACACCTAGGCTTAAAAACCCATGTAAGAACAATGTGTATACTTACCTATTTTCAGGCTGCAACAGTCCAGTCACATGATCTGCTGTCAACCAATGTCAGCTAGCACAGTTGCAGGGGAGAGGAGGGAATGCTGACAATGGATGGACCACTGAAATCTATGGATGACATCACTGCTCCAAGCCATTGTCAGTGTGTTCTTTCCTCTCCCCTGCAGCCTCCATTGGCTGACACAAGGAAGATCAGGTGATTAGACCGGAGCGGCCTGGAAATAGGTTAAGTATGTACATCTTTCTTACACAGGTTAGTTGCCTTCCAGATCTGTGCTGTGATTCAGCATGAGAAAACTCCTGCACTCTGCCTTTTTGCAATGGCATGTCATGTCCACAGTTCAGCTTCAAATTCTAAATGATGCAAGCTATCAAAACATATTGGCTTCTTTCTCAGCCATAACAAAAACTAAACAACTTAAAGTGGTTGTAAACCCTTACAAATACCAAGTGAAGTGACTGGCCTCAGGTGATACACAGAGATTAAACAAA